CAGCCCATCTGGTCCCGGATCCATCAGGAGACCCCCACACCCATGCTAACTATAATCCCTGAAGGGACCCAGCAGCCAGCTCCACCAGCCTCTGTTCATCCACTGGGCACAGAAGCCATGAGGTTGATGAAAGGGAGAGAATTGGCCTGGCCAGACTGCAGGGTAGGATGGGGGGTCACCCATGTAGTCCGTGTGAGGCACCTGCAGGGCCTGAAAATGCAGCCATCCTCCTGGAGTGGGCAGAAGGAGGAGCCAACTTCTTGCCCAACAGTCCATGAGGAAATGTCACACAACTGTCCCAACATGGCAGCAAGGTGTGGGGTTCTGTGGGGGCCCATCTTGGTCTACTGACCTGCTCAGGGAGGTCTGGGACAGCTTTCCAAGGAGGCAGGTTTGAGCTGGGCTCTGAAGGAATGAACAAACAGGGCTCAGTGGTGACTGGAACATGGGAGAAGAAAATACAATGGCAGAGGCGCTGGGCTTGGGAGGGGGATGGCACATGCAGGAGACATGGCTGGGGGCAGAGAAAGCCCCAAAGGGTCTGTCCCAGTGAGTCAGTAGAGTCCAAACTAACCTGGAGCCCTGGGGAGAAGCTAAAAGGGACACAGAACTAGATTTGTGGTTCCAAAAGGGTACACTCTGGCTGTAGGGACTGGAACTGGTCAGGCCAGAGGTGGAGTAGGGGTGGCCAGAAATGAAGAGACCTGAAGCCTCTAAACGACAACCCCAATGAGCTATAACAGGAATGGTGAGGGAAGCAGTGTCCAGGACACATAGGCAGGAGCAGATGGATGATGATTTTAGCCACTATAAGGTGCTCTAGGAGAGAACAGGTTCAAGGGGACAACAAACTTGTTTAGACACACTGAGTCTTTCATAGGGTCTACGTGGGGCAGGCCAGGAAGCAGCAGGGTCTAAAGGGCAGTAAGAGCCTGGGCTGGAGAGGGAAACTCACTGGGCATGTGTGAGCTAGGGTCCCTAAGCAGAGGAGGCAGGGGGTGTCTCAGAGGGGGCAGCCAGGCTGGTAGGACCAGTGGCATGGGTAGTATGGGAAGAAGGCATGACCCACATCCTTGGGTGCTATTCTAAAGTCTAGTAAGAGAAGGATTGACCACTGCCTGCTGGCTTTAGTGTAACAGCCCCTCACCTTGTCCCCAGAGGAACATGAGGCAAGGGGAAGCGTCCTTCATTGAGGAGCGCAGGGCCCGGGAGAACCGGCTCAACCAGCAGAAGAAGCTGATAGACAAGATACGCACAAAGGAGACCAGTGAGAAGTACCGCAGGGTAAGGCCCACCAGGACTAAGAGCAGGGTGGTGCCCCACTCAGGGCTGCCTACTGGGCTCACTCCCTGCACAAGATACTGCTTACCTTCTTCCTTGGCCCCCTCTCCCATCAGGGCCAGACGGACTTGGACTTCCCTTCCAACCTGATGAATGCAGACTTCCTGAAAGGCAAGAGCTTCACTCCCTGCCTGCCCCAGCCTGGGTCTCAAGAGGCCAGCACTGGCTTAAGCTACCCAGTCAGAATACCGTGAGGCAGGTGTACTGTGCAGTCATCAGGGTGAGGGAGACAGATGAGCCCCTTCCTCTCCCAGGCGACCCCTGCAGAGGCTGAGAGCCTGTGGGTAGTTGTGGCTGCAGCCATACTATCCCAGCACCCCAGGGCCCAGTCACTCAGCAATTTCTCAGAGAGGACCCCTGGACCCCAAGCTGCCTCTGAGGAGTACCACTAAGCTCTGCAGTGCCATGTCCTCCTCACCCTGCTCTGCACTGAGGCTGCCTGGGGTGTCCCTGAAGGGCCACACTAAGGAGGGGGCAGGTGAGGTACAGGGGCCCAGCTGAAGCAAACAGCTTGTTGGGGTTGCCTTCTCGACACTGGGCATCTGATGGTCTCGCACAGAACCCCAAGCTGTCTTTGCATGCTGATAGCCCCTTCCCCTCTGCCAGTGAGGAGAAAGGAGAACTCTGAGGTTGACATAGAATACCAGACGGATGTGACTGCTTTGGTGGAGAAAGTCAAGACTGCTGTGCGGTGCTCCCACCTCTGGGTAATGCTCCCTGCAATCCTGGGGCATGGCAGGAGAAGGCCCAAACTGGGCTGGGGTCTACGGAGCCCCTGAAGTGGACACAGAAAGCTGTACCTCCCTCAGGAGGACTCCTAACCTGAATGGCCACCCTTGCTACTCCTAGGCCTGGAAGGAGACTTGGGGCCTGCAGGCCACTCTCAGGACTGAGCTGTGGGATTTTTTTTTTTTTTTTTTTTTTTTTTTGCGGTTTTTGGCGGGGCTGGGTTTGAACCTACCACCTCCAGCATATGGGGCCAGCGCCCTACTCCTTTGAGCCACAGGTGCTGCCCTGAGCTATGGGATTTCCCAGCCCATCCCAGGAGCAGCAGTGAGCCTAAGGATCCAGATACCATGGACATGGCCCTGCTTCCAACCTCAACCTTTTCCCAGTACAGTAGAATCACAGCAAGCAGCTGCCTCCAACTTCCCCCTTTCGTTTTAATCCCATCTGAGTTTATTATTAGGCCCTGACACAAGCTTGTCCACTGTCAGACAAGTGACTCAAAGTGAAACACAATGTCCCTCAGTGGTGGTCTCCTTGTCTCCAGTGTGGGTATCTGCCTTCTTTCCCATACAAAGTACTTCACCCTTGCTTGGAGCACCTGCAGTCCCAGCTACTGGGAGGTTGAGGCAAGAGATCGCTTGAGCCCAGGAGTTGGAGGCTGCAGTGAGCTGTGATCATACCATTGTACTCCAGCCTGGATGCCTCTGTCTCTAAAATAAAAACATGGCCAGGTGCAGTGGCTCACACCTATCATCCCAGCACTTTGGGAGGCTGAGCCAGGAAGATATCCTGAGCTCAGGAGTTCAAGACCAGCCTGAGCAAGAGGGAGACCCCATCTCTAAAAAAAAAAACTACCCAGGCATGGTGTAGGCACCTGTAGTCCCAGCTACTTGGAAGGCTGAAGCAAGAGAATCACTTGAGCCCAAGTGTTTGTGCTTGCTGTGAGCTATGATGCCACAGAACTTTCACTAGGGTGACAAAGTAAGAATATGTCTAAAAATAGTAATAATAATAATTAAATAAAGAAAATAAACGCAGGTCACTCCTGGCTGGCCCCTCACGAGCCTACAGTGCCAGTTCACGTTATTACTGATCCCTGAGTGCAGAGGCCCTACATTGCCACTGGGAAGGGCCCAGAGGAAGCCAGTTCCATGGGGCCCACACCTGCTTCTCTGCCCTGACTGGCCAGGACATAGCCGGCCGATTCCTGGCACAGAAGAACACGGAGGAGAACCTGGAGCTGCAGCTGGAGGACTGTGAGGAGCGGCGGAGGCAGCTGGAGGCCCTGACAGGCAGACTGGGGCTGGAGGAGGCCTTGCTCAAGTTTCGCCAGTTGCCCAGCTCCATCAGGTACCCAGGGCTCCCCAGGTTGCAAGGCCAACCCCTGTGGGCTAGGGGTAGGGTGGGAGCATGCTCAACCCTGCCGATGAGTGGGGGCCTCACCGTCAACATCTGAGCCCCTGACCCGAAGACAGCACCCAACTCATGAGCCAGCCTCCAGAGGGGTCACTCCTGCTGTGCCCCTGTGGTCCCCCACAGCTTTAAGTCCATAGAGAAGAAAATGAAGGACATGCTAAAAGAGGAAGAAGAAAGGCTCCAGCTGGCCCACTCCAACATGAACAAGAGCCAGAAGCTGCTGCTAACCATCCAGATGGGCATAGACAACCTCTACATCCGGCTCTATGGCGTGGCGCTGCCCTCCGCCCAGGTACGGAGCAGGGAGCTGCCTGCACTGACGTCCCAGTGGGGCCAGAGGGGAGACAAGACCTTCCTCCTCGCCTGCAGAAAGAAGCGGCGCCGCATGACACCCTGGATTTGTACAGCAAGCTGGCACACTGCGAGGAAAAGCTCACTTTTCTGACTGACCGACTGCAGTCGCTGTCCAAGACAGAGGAGGTACCGTAGGCTGGGCCTGGAGGCGCCCCTACAGTCCATCCCCTCCCGGTCAGCACAGCTGAAGAGGGCTGTGCTCTGCAGGTCGGCACAAAGGTGAGGGACGCCCTAGAGTCCTCCACGCTTAAGGAGAAGTACAACACCAGGATCAGTTTTGAGGACTTGGACGACGACATGATCGGTACCGCCTGGCGCTCCGCCGCGGGAGGGGCGCGGCCGGCGGCAGGGCTGGTGCTGGCTCCGCTCTGACCTGGAGGGCAGTGGGGGAGGCGGATGTATTGTGCCTGCGGGATTTTCATGGTGGAGGTGGCTTAGTGATGTCGTGGAGAGGCGAAGCCAGTGAAAGAAGAATCCACCTAGTTTTCCCGAGAGGAGGGACATGCCATGAGTGGCAGGGTCGCGGGGGCACCAGGCCAGGAGGGGCAGAAAAGAACCGAAGCAGGCGGGGTGCGCGGCAGAGGAAGCAGGGAGGGCTGGGATGGTCACTGCGGGGCGCCGAAGGCAGCGCGCAGGGGAAGGGAGGCTGGTGCTCGGCGGGCACACGAGCTAGGAGCGCAGGCGCAAGGCAGGAAGCAGCGGCTGCGAGGGGGCACACCCCCGGGGACCCGGAACCCACAGGCCCCCCGGCGTGCGGCCGCTTCCTGCACCCTTGCAGACACCTTCCAGTTTGCCGACGTGGACCACAGCTATGTCCCTTCGCGAGCCGAGATCAAGAGGCAGGCCCAGCGGCTGATCGAAGTGAAGTTCAAGGGGAGCAAGAAGAAGAAGAAGTAGCCCTGGCAGAAGTAGCCTGCCCTGCTCTGTTACACAAATAAACATTTTTCCAGGACTGCTGCAATCGCTGGGGCGGCCAGGGTCTCAAAGGAAACTGGTTCGCGTGACTGAAGCCCAGAGGGCTGGGGGCTAGCTGTAGAGAGCTGGCGGCTGCGGAGCCTACGGGCCTTGAATTCTGCGCATGCGCGCGCCCGACTCTCTTGGCCCTCGCGCCGCCCCGTAGCCACGTAGCCCTGGAGCCACGAGCTCCTCGCGCCTAGCTAAGCCGGCACCAACATGGCGGTGCAGGTAGGCGGAGAGCGGCTGTGCCAGGGGCAGCGGGGTATGGCGCGGAGCCACAGTAGCTGAAGTGCCCGAGCTGCCGCTGGAGGCCGCGCTCCGCCACCGGGACCCCGGCCTGTGGCCGCGCCGGCTCAGGCCGCGGGGAAGGCCGGGCCGCCAGGACATGGTGCAAGTCAGGCCGCGCCGCTACCACCGTTGAGCTCGCCGGCCGCTTCTGGGCTCGGACATCGCAGCAGGAAGATGTTTTCCGCCCTGAAGAAACTGGTGGGGTCGGAGCAGACCCCGGGCCGGGACAAGAACATCCCCGCTGGGCTGCAGTCCATGAACCAGGCGCTGCAGAGGCGCTTCGCCAAGGGGGTGCAGTACAACAGTGAGTGCGGGCCGGGCCGCCGCCTTCCGCGGCTCGTGGGTCCCTGCGCCGCTTGGCAGGGTGCCCAAGAGCTGAAGAAAAGTAGAACGTGTAGTCGGGGAGGAGGCGGAGGAGCGGCGCTGTGCATGTGCTGGGAGGCCCTGCTTGGCCTCCGGGGGCAGGCAGTGTGTAGGGAGGTGCGGCCTGTAGTCCGGATGGGGATGAGCGCCCGCGGGCGTCAGGCACTGCGCAGGTGCTCCAGGGCGCAGGTTCTTAGGAGCAGGAAGTTCAGCCGGGCCGGCAAAGCCCTAACCCACCCAAGGGCGGGGGTCCTTCGAAAGTCGGTCATTACTGGAGAATGTTCACCTGGTGGGAAAACCTGCTCGAGTAACCTTGCATAACAAACTTGGGCCGAGCACTTAATAGGTGCGTTATGCGTCGCCTCATTTGGCCTAGGCGATCTCGCCTAAGAAGAATTATTACATAATATGAAGCAAGAGCTCTTTGGTCTATGGGCATAAGACGCTAAGGCACTGCTTCGGGGCCATGGGGCCCTTTGGTAGTGGGCTGTGCGCTCCACCTGGAAGAGGGCCAGTGAAATCCACCTGACTCCGATGGTCTGTGCTGTGGGAATTTTCTTTATTGACTTCTACCGAATTTGAAGACAGAATATCCCTCCACGCCACGCATTCTCGCTTTTTTGTTTTAAAGAAGCATTTTTAAGGGACGTATTTAGGAAAGCTCCAGAAGGCATAGCCCTTTACTTTTGATTGTAAGGAGACATCTTTTATTTACTAACGCCCCCAAATGCCCAGAAGGGCCCCTGTCTCCTGTTACAAATTATGTAAATTGTCCTCTTAACCTCTTTTGAGATTTTTTTTTTTTTTCATTTTGAGGGATTCCTGTAGTATTTAAAAGCTTTGGTGTTCTTCTCTGCAGGTTTGTTTTTTTGTTTGTTTGTTTGTTTGTTTGTTTGAGAGTGTCTCACTCTGTCACCAGAGCTAGAGTGCCAATGGCATCACAGCTCACGGCACCCTCAAACTCCGGGGCTCCAGAGTAGCT